CATGTTTGTGGAAAAGGTAAAAGTCAACCTTGAAGACTAGTCTACGTGACTGCGCCTCACCTACTGCTCCTGCTGCTTGATGGACACCTCCACAATCATTATCATTATTAGTTAATTATACTCCCTCCGTCCCGCAAAGAAGTTCCCGCTTTTCTTTTTTAGCAGTCCCAAAAAGAAGTTCTCCTTTCTTTAAATGACAAGTTATCTACATCAAAACAGTGCCAAACAGTGCAAAACAATGTCAAACAGTGTTTAAACAATGTCAAAACAGTAAAATTACCCCGTGGTAAGTTTATTTCCTTAATATTATGTGTGTAGGTCAAACCGGGAACTTCTTTGCGGGACGGATGGAGTGTTATTTTTATTTTATTTTTATATAATAATTTGACAAATTTGTTCCTGAATTATGCTGCGCCTTTATAAAATGTGTATAAATTAAATGTAAAATGACTTTTATACTTTATAGTATTGTAAAAATCCAAGTCCGAGTTATAAGTTTATAACCAGGAAAAGAAACAACTAAAAGCATTCATAGGTTACTACGAGTTGCTTATGAGGAACTGTTTAGGTTGTCTTAACTCCTAATCATACTCCGTATTATTTACGGAGTATCATTTATTCTCATTTTAGTATGTTAGATGAGAAGATTAATTCATATTAGATCATATCAGAAAATTTTAGATATAAATCTGAAATAATGCTGATAAGAAATTTGAGATAATATTAATTGAATAGCTCCTTTGTTACTGCATGTGCACAAAATCAAGTAGTGAGTGACATATTTGCTCTTTTGAAATTTGTTGAGATTTGCATCAATAGTCGACAGGGGCGGAGCCAGACTTCACTACGAGGGGGGGCGAAATATAATATAAAAAATCAATCACTACATAAAGGAAAATTGTATGGTATACATTACATTCTAAAAAACGAAAAAATTGAAAAAATATTCATCCTCCGTTCTTAAATAAGTGCAACGTGTTGAATTTTACAGTATTCACATGTTCTACTTTGACAATGCTTTATTTATAAATGTATTAATAAATTATTTTAAAAAAATATTGTTAAATTTGTGTTATTGTAAATTTTCAAATTTGTTTTTTTTTACCTTTTTTTAATCATAAAGGATAATGTAAATTAATGGTCAAAGTTATGCATTGGCAAAAGTTAAATGGATTATTATACTTATTTAAGAATGGAGAAAGTATGTGATAGTTTATGAGGAGATAACGACAATTCTATATTGATATATACCACAAGCTTTTGGCAATAACAATATGTTTTTTCCTTATTATGTGTTTTAATAACTTGAAAGCTTCAAAGTTTTCAAAAATAGAGATTTATTCATTTAAACATCAATGTTTCAATAAAATAACTAGACCTCCTGCACAAACTACTCGATATTTACACATTAGGAGGATCTTTTTTATACGGAGTATATAATACTCCGTATGTTTTTTAGTTGGCCAAAACAACCTGCACTATGCAGTAGGATTTTATCTTTGAATTGATCTAGACATCTGGTTACACCGTATGCATTATTTGTTGGGGGGGGGGTTGGGGGGAACAAAACATAATAATAATAATAATATTACAAAAAAATAAAAAACTTGGGGAGGGGCCATGGCCCCCTTAAGCAATAGGGTAGCTCCGCCCCTGATAGTCGACCATTGATTAGCGAGGTTAGCGTCATTCCCGACGGTCACAACAGCCGTGGTGGTTTTCAGTGTCAAGAATGATGATACAACTGACAACAATGTCACCGGTAATGACCACCAACGATTTGGTGATAGCTAGTGGCAAAGTCAGAAAAACGATTTATGGGAAGAAAATTAAATCTAAAATAAAAAAAGTGAATCGTCTTTAAGCAATACATGAATTGAATATTCCATGTCACTTAGATAAATGGTAGTTTAAATAAGACTAGTATATTTAAGTATTGATCTCTCTCTCTCTAGAGTTGTTGCTTGGCCGCTAGAGTAGATTTTCGTTTTCCGTTTTCGTCGAGGACGAAGAACGGCGTCCCTGACGGAAGATCGAGTTCCGCAGGATGTGCCGTAGACGAAGGTCGAAGTCGTGATATCCTATTAGGCCCAAGTTTCGCCTTTGGCCGAAGGGTGCTGGGATATTGCGATTGCGTTGGGGTCAAATTAATGGATGAGTTTGTGAATCAATACAAGAAGATGACTATTGGGCAGGAGGACAGTGAGTTGAATTTTGATGACAAGGGAGTCGGAGAATTTGATACAACTGAGAAGAGGGCCGAGTTTCCAGTGGTGGGATTTGTTCTCACGGTCACGGATTGGAAAATCAAGTTTCAGGCTTTCAAGGATCTTTTGGCTCCGATTTGGCGTCCGGGTAAAGGGGGATCAATCAAAGAGATAGACTACAAATCTGTTTACTTTTTATCACATTGTGGATATGTATCGTGTTCTTGAAGATGGTTCTTGGTTATTTGAGAGAAATTTATTGCTTTTTAATGAAGTTAGACCAGATGATTTTCCCCATAAATGAATTTGAGTGAAGCTGAATTTTGGGTACAAGTGCATAATGTTCTGTATAGCTTTATGAATATAGGAACTGCTAGAAGGGTGGGAAACTATATTGGTGAGTGTATTAGTTTTGATGAGAGCCACTTTGATAAGAAGTGATAGTCATATATGAGAATTAGGCTGAGATTGGATGTGGGGAAGCCTCTGAAGAAGGGTTCTAACCTTAAGAGAGGTGGTATTAGACATTGGGTGGATCTTAAATATGATAAACTCCTTAATTTTTGTTTCATTTTTGGGGTGATTGGGCATACTGATAAATTCTGTCCGTTGAAATATGAGGATGATATAGTTTTGGAAAAATCTTTTGGGGTAGAACTTCGAGCAGGTGGAGGGGTGAAGACTAGCCCGACAAGGGGCAATAAGTGGCTAGTGGAAAAATCTTCGGGTTCAACGGTGGTCATACAACAGAGGAGGACAGGTCAAGAGGGTGAATGTACTACAGAACAAGGAGAGCGAGAGTCTAGAGCTGGTACAAACATGGTTTTAAAACTCGAATTAATCGGCCGCCTAGGCACCGGAAATTCGCTAGGCGCCTTCATCCCGTAGAGATTTTATGTTGTTCGCTCCTATAGTCGCTCAGCCGACTAATCGGCCGCCCGGACCGAGAAATCGGCGGAAAACCGCCTGCCTAGGAAGAAATTTAGTCGCTCCTAACCTTTTAATCAGTAGCTACGTTTTTGACTTTTTTCCCCGATGACGGGGGCACCTCTTACATCCGTTCCCCCAATCCACTAAGCAAATTAAATTTGGTGTGCCCTGTTTCTTGACTTCCCAGACCTAAAAACGCAACCTTCTCATAACACTATTTCGCTGTGGTGATCAGTGATTGAATACGAGTGATAAAAGTGATGATTTTGTTTTTTGTTTTAAGAACCTTCTCACAACCTTCTAGCATAAGAATTGAAAGTCATGATCTGTACAAATATATAATGCTCCATTCATCTCATAAAAATTATTTCTGTTCTTTTAATCTACAAACTGGATGCAATTCAAACGTGCTATAATCTAACAAATTAATTTACTATCTTCATATGACACAATACACTTGTTCACCAAAAAAATGTGGAGTATGCGCTTGTAAAGTTACACGCTTAAACCATGTAGAGGGAATGCACTAAGCCTGGGGAAATTTGATGGCAACTAGTTAACACATTGATACAACCACTTACAGTTTCCAATAACTATTCTAGGCTTTCCATCATAGTAGTCCCAATTCCTTCTTCAACCGAGCTAGAGCTTCTTCGATCTCATCCAAATTTTCCTCAATGTTACTTCTTTTTTCAGTCGCTTTATGTTCTGTGCCATTTGACATTCCATCTACACTAGAAGATGCATTATTCTGAGCCGCTTTTTCCCTGAGGCTCTCCTCTTCTGCCTCAGCATCAGTTATGTCAAGTTCCTTCTCTAAAAACTCAATGAATTCTTCACCAATTTCCTGTTAAGTACCAACCATTTACAGAACAGAGAAATGTAACATAAAATAGCCTTCCACTTTTTGATGGACATAAAAGAACTTGCGGGTTATGTTTGGGACTCAGAAAAGGAACAGAGAAAAATACCAAGACAAATAGTTTTTGAATGGTTGAATTTTCCTTAGAAAATAAGAAAATTCCAAAAAACAAAATGTCTAGGGGATGTTTCCTTGTGCTTGATAGGCTTAACCGGGTAGTGACAATTGTCCAGCCATCAAGTTGTTTTGCTTACGACTAAATTGAAAATATGCCTTATTCATTCAGTTAAACACTGACTAAACATTAAGCCCTAAAATATTTTTCATTTCCTAACTAAGCCCTAATAATTAGGCATTCCCTTATTAAGAAAATAACTATTATGGAATAGATTGTCATAGAGACTTCGATTCAACCAATTCTTTAAACCCATTATTTAAACCCATTATGAAATAAATGTTGGTTATTAAGTGGCATTACCCATTAAATTAAGGTAGTTTCTATGGTACCCATAAGGTACTGTACCTTTGTTCACATGGACCAATGAAAAGATAGCAGTTGAATTATTTAAATCTAAATTAAAATTGATAAAGTGATGTGGTCCAATCAAATGAATGTTAGGTACGGTACCGGAGTTATCACCTTAAATTAAACTGTCTCTTGCATAAAGACTATTTAATCTTAATACGATTTGGACTTGTAGAAAAAATAGTAAGCAACCCCTCCAACCTTTGTGGAATTTTTCACATATCTATAATTCATAGAACTTTCATATTACAAATATTAAAGAAAATGAGTTCAAACATCTCCAAATATAGATTAAATTGAGTTTGAAGCAATTTTTTATTTTTTCTCACGTTTTATTTACTTCAAATTTTCCTACAATTTTTCTCCCTACTTTAATTCCCTTGCATTTCAGGAGATCTAAGTTGTCACATTTTCGATATCTTCTCTTGTTTCTAGATATAGTGATATATAGTACAAGAATATTTAATTCACTCACCGCCACTTCCTCCCACAAACTCTTCGGCTTCCCTTGTGAGGCTAAATTTACTTCCCAATTTCGGAATTCTTCTTGAACATCCTTAAAGAAGTCCTCTGCAACAAAATAAGTAAGTTTAACTGTTTAAGCCTCACCATGTGACTTCAACTGGCAAAATAGAGGTTTATAAGTGCCCTAATATTAGTGGAAGATTAAGCTTGGTAAATAAGTGATCGTGATGATCTGCAGAATCTACCTACTGTAACTTGTACATCCCTGAAAAAGTTACCTGCAGGACGAAGGGGGTAAAGAATAAGAATGAAATTTTAAAGATTTTCTATATTTTATTTTATAAAGACTAATTCCCAATAGATTATATATTGATATAATGCTAAACACTGTTTTTGTAGATTCTAAGATTCTAAATGTACAGATCATTGTTTGTGTTAGCCAGATATACAAAAACAATTTGGTAATGCGGTTTAACTTATGCGATGAAAACACATCTCACCAAATCCATAAAAATCTTCATCTTTTGTTGTTCCACTTTGGCTACCCGAAGTTGTGTCATAAGAATCATTAGATGAGTCACTTCCAGAACCATACTTCTTTCTTGCCTTGGAGTTTAGCACTGTATTGTAGGCATGCTTAATCCTCATAAACTTCTCCTTTGCATTGGGCTATAGTGGCAAAGCATAAAGTGTTAGCAACTTAGCATAATTTCGCCGAACAATTCAATGTAAGTCTCTTGTACATGCAAACAAAATCAATGTCAAACACTATTGAACTAATGAATTTCCACACATCACAGAACAAATTAGGATTATTAACACTGAGAATTATAATCACTTTCCTCCAAATACCCTCAGAATCTGAGGGGTGTTTGAAACTGATTCTGCTTCAGGGCCTCTGCTTCTTTTTTAAAGCAGAAACAGAATCAGAATCAGTTTTCAGAAGCTGGTCACCAAAAAACTGATTCTATAAGTAAATTTGAGTACCAGAATCACTTCTGCACTTTCACCCAAACACTCCATCTTCTGTAGAAGCAGTTTTAAGAATCAGATCCAAACACCCCCAAGTGGGCATTTGTCAAGCTCTTTCTAATTAAGCAGGTATAGCCCAACAGATAATCCCATCCAATCAACTCAACCACCATTCTGAAGATTGCCATAGATCATTAAAAAAAAGATTGCCATAGATCAAACAAAACTAGTTTAGAAATTCCAAGCTCACCAAAGTAAGAGCCTCTACCAAAACTTAGACACATTCCAGCTGATATAACATAATTGCGCATCCTTTGGACCTTTACACGCCATTTCTCTTCATTTTTTAATAGAAGAATATCATGCATACTCAAAATACAGATATTCGGAATGATTACCTCTTTATTGACATCAGGATGGTATTTAAGAGCGAGTTTCCTATACGCTTTCTTAATTTCATGTGGAGTTGCAGCAGGCGAGACGCCCAAGACCTCGTAAGGAGTCTCTCCTTTGCGGCTGGCCTTCACGGCGGTCAACCTCTTCTTGTGGCAGGAATTTTGGTGAGAAGAGATTGAAGAGGAAATTGGTTTCTGTAACAGAGGGTTGAAAACGGGTCGATACCCGAATCCGAAAACGGGTGAAGGTGGGAACTTGTGTTGGGTGTGAAGTGGCGGTGCAAAAAGGTAGATCTGGGTCGGGTTTAAAGATACCAAATCCATTCATCTTCTGGTCGATCTCCAACTCGTGCGGTTCTTTTTATCCTTTGAGGAATACTCCGTATGTCTCAAGTCTTAACCCCTGGAAGAGGTTCATGCCGAACAATTTGAGAAATGTGCCAACATTTTAACTTTTTTTTTTACCCGATAAATAGGTTGAAACTCTACTCTTAAAGTTTGGATCTCGGGAGTGTAAACAAGTCTAAAGTGTGAAAGAAGATGAGTGGATTTTGTTTTAATTTCGTTTTATTCTGTTTGTGTTTTTCTTTCAAATCACATGTTATTTTGGACGTGTTCTTATTTTCTAGCAAAGAGATTCTAGAATTTAATTCAGATGATGAGAAGTCTGGTTTGTCTGTCATGCTCAGTTAAACTCATTCATTACGGGATCAACGAATGTTATTGCTTCTACAGAGGTGATAGATTCTAAATCTAGTTCAATTGCGGACGGGAGGCAGAAGGCTTTTTATCATTTTGTTTCCTGCTTTTTTATTGATTGTATTATCCGCCATGTGAGAACGTTTTGTTGATTTAATATATTTGTTGGTTTGACGATAATAAAAAAAGTTTGGACCCCCTGAATTTCTCATACGATAGAGTTAGTCAACGATCGGTTGAGCTCATTTGTATTATAATTATTATTATTGTTATAATTATTAAATGCTAATTAGTAATGCACACAATTCTTATACTACTTCCGTCTCAAAGAGATCGGTCAAATTGATTTTTTCGGACTGAAATTTGTTGGTCTGGTCTAGTCTCATATGTTTAAGTCTAGCTTGGTCTGATTTAGTAAATGTCTAATCTATGTATATTTTATAAATGTCCAAGGCTGGTCTGTATAAGTATGGTCCGGTCTATTTAGGTATGATCTGGTCTGATTTGGTCTAGTAAATAAGAAAACATCCTAATATAGCATTTCAATATCCACTTTTTGAATTGTTAGTTTTCGGCCTTGGTATATTATTACTGGATTATTGTTGCTAGGAGTATTAACAATTGCAAAATTATGACAAATATATGACTGAAATAAAAGTAGGCGACAAAAAAATGATTTAATGACTACCGTAGTAACTTTGGTGACCATGATTATGTTCAAGTTTACTGTTATAATGACTTTGTATAGTAATTATAGTAATATTTTTGTCCATTAGTTATATTTCCGTAATATTTATGAAAAAACCTGATTGATTAAAGAATATGTTATGGAATGTAACTGAATTTGTTTTAATTACATTGTACAAAGTTACTCAATTTACACAATTACGTGTAATTACCAATTTTAATGAGAGTGTATATTATCATCTGGCTGTACGGTGGGCAAAATATATGGTACAACCGGCTGTACCATGCCCCCGGCTGTACCATGCCCATGGTACAGCCGGCAATTTTGTAATTAAATTCAACTCAAAGGGCAATAGTTAACTTAGTTCACTTAGCTGCTGCTCGTTGTTGTTCTTTTCCGCTGGCATGCTTACCTGCTCGTCCATTTTATTTCGAGATATTACCCAAAATGGGACTAAAAAAGTTTGAAAATTCCAAAATAGGACTTCCATGTTTTTATTCTCAAAATAGGATTAATTACTGCCATGTTTTGGCAGTACCAGACTTCAAACATGGCAGTATTTTCCAAATTTGGCAGTAATTAGTCCTATTTTGGGAATAAAAACATGACAGTCCTATTTTGGAATTTTCGAACTTTTTTAGTCCCATTTCGGGAACTTTCCCTTTTATTTCTTTCTTCTATCTTTCTTCCTCACTTTGTTTCGTCGTTTTTTGTTCCAGTTAGTTTCACTTTTCTTTTGTGTTTTTGCTTTCACTAGATTCTCACCCGCGCGATGCGCGAGATATTAAAATGTAATAATAGCGATAATGTGATATGATATTATTTCTAAATATTACTTGGTTGTGTGAAATAAATGTAAATTGTCATTGACGTAACATGTATAATAAATTATACGGAGTAATTGAAGAACGGATAGTGAAAACTCAAAGATAGATAGTAAGTATGTTTTAGAATAAGTAGAAATAACGAAATGTAATCTAAACTAAGATTTCACAATCTATACATTGCGAAAAACTTCCTTATTAACTTCCTTATAGGGGCGGAGCTAGGGGAGGACCAACCTTGACCCCGGCCAATCCCAAATTTTAAAAATGTTTAAGTTTTAAGTGAAAAAATTATGTGTATTTTTTTTCAAAAATATTATTTGTATCAGCTCAATATGGTCCAGTGTCCTGGCTATGCCCTTGAATCAAAAGAAATAAGTGAATATTAGATAAGATTCGTCCAAATAAGGAGGAATTTTAATAAAGAAAAAGATACCCACGGCTCATAAATATTTTGCTTGCAAATGTTATGTGGTGGTATTTAACATATCATAGTAAGATACTAATAGCAATATTATGATACTAATACAATACTAACATATTAGTTGTAATAACAATAATAATAACAACAACATAAAACTAATTAGTAATTTGATAATTTTATCGGGATCACAATTTTCTATTCAATATCATAACATATTAGAATAAGGGTTGGTTTGCAACTCCTTTTAAAAAAGCACTTCTCAGCTTTTGGCTTTAAAAAAACACTTATTTTCCCAAACACTACAACTTTTATTTTTCTCGGTTTCCCGCGTCAAAAGTGTTTTTACTTTTTCTATTACACAAAAAGCACTTATTTTACCAAACACTACCCACTTTTACTTTTCAAAATCACTTTTTTCTCAAACACTATCAACTTTTATTTAATCACTTCTCCCCATTTCATTTAAAAAGCACTTTTTTAAAAGCAGAAGCTGTTGCAAACAGACCCTAAATTATATCCCATAAGATTATTTAAAACAAATGACAAATTATTAGAATCAATGAATACTTATTTTTAAAAACATGATTTATCATTAATGAACTTGAATAAAAATAATAATAACTCTGGAAATAATACTTTGTATATGATACAACTAATTTTTTTTACTGTTATGATACAACTAATTTAATAATTACTAATTTCATAAATAAATAATTAAATATCAAATAATATCCCAGCCAATACATAATAATCCTCCCGCAGCTTCGATAAAAAAAAAACCTCCTGTAGCCAGCCCATATAAGTTTATCACCCATCCTAGCCAGCCCATTTAACTCAACCCAATATGATATTTACATCCTACCCAACTACCCAAACCTAACATAGCTCTATATAATCTATTTATCTCCCCCAGCCTCCACATTTGTCCGTACACGTACTCTAGACAATCCTTCATTTTTCGGATGGATTTTATTTTCGTTGTCACTCTAGATTTTCGGCCATATCTTCCGAAATTGGTCCTTCAAGCCTTCTTCAAGAGATGGTTCAAGTCAATTATTCACCGCTAATATGACGGTATCGATGTTCATTTTGTCGATTCATATTTTTTGTTTCATGTTTACCTTACCCGACAACCGAAATAGTTGCAATGGCTGAAGGATAATCAAATGATCTCAGTCCATGTCTACTATCTTCGAGATCTCGGTATATCCCTTTCGTCTCTGTTCTTGAAATTTTATCCTTGTACGTTTTTTTTTCTGTGCATGTCGTTCTGAATCGCACCGGGTACAAATAGCGTTAAACGTATTTTTTTCCAATACAAAGTATCTTTAACCGATTTATATTGTTCACTAAATGTGTAATTATTTTTAGAAAAAATGATGTTGTGCAGATTTATTAAGTTCACTTAATCTCTAATTTTTTTGGAGTGAGTATATAGATTTGCCGAGATCTATTTTTTTACACCGAGATAAATTACACCCAGATCTTTCTGGTCGGTAAATAAATTATTCCACACTTATATGACATTACTTTAGTGATATCTCAAATCAATGAGATCTCCAATAGATACATGTCATACATAAGTGAATTTAGAATAATATTGTCGTGATAAAGCATTGAATGTCCAAAACAGGTTTTGTTGTTCATATATGATGATTGTTGAAGAATAAATGTAATAGTGTATATAGAGATATACAGATTTCTGGATATGAACATTGAGACATTAAAGTGTATGTTACATAAATACATTCAAGTTTTTTGAACTAATTATTTATCTACTATTTGTTCTGAACTAAAAAAGCGTTGTGGCTATATTTTTACGCATGTGTAATTTAAACAGTTAAAAGAATGCTTTTAATCCATTTTAACACTCCTACATTTTTAACTATACGTACCCTAATATTTATACTTTCTTACCTACGATTTTGATCTATACATAGATTAATATTTAACCTCTAAAACTGTGAGTGCATTATTTTATAGATTGGTGATAAAAAGTAGAAGATCATTGTTCAAAAAAAAAAAAAGTAGAAGATCATTTTCCATTGTCTGGTATAATCCTTGTTGTGGCCCTTTGGTTGTTGCATTAAAAGTAGAAGATCATTTCCCTGGCACAAATATAGTCATTGTTAAATCTTGTAGTAAGTTCTTTTAAGTATAAGAAAGCACTCAAATAGGGCTCATTCCGTTTTTGTAGCTCAAAACATTTACCATTTTCGGTTCTGCATTTCAAGTTCATGATCATATTAATTTCTTCATATGATGTTCTGTGAAATCCATTTTTGTTAGGCTTTTTAAAATGCATAATGATTGTTGCTATTTGTTACCTTTTCGTATTGGAAAAATAATCCCCTCAAAGAGCATTGAGCATACATGGCTAAGAACCCCATTATGTATTGGAGTATTGTTTAAAACTTATAAAACCTCTTGTTTATGATTAAAAAAAAGCTTGTATATTTTTTATACTAATTAAAACCCTAAAAACTGCAAAAATGCATAACTTTTTACACAAAATATACACTTGGTATTTAACCTTGTCTTGTTTTTTTTACCTTTACTTACCAACTTGATTGTGGCCTTTTCACTGAGGTATAAATCGGCCCTTCCTGTAAATATATTTAAATATAAATGTAAATATTAACCTTTTATAAAAACTACCAGCAATGAACTGCAGTTGTATATTTCCTTAAAGAAGTTTGAAGGTGATACCTGATCGGAATTGCTAAT